AAAAAAAAAAAAAAAAAAAAAAAAAAAAAAAAAAAAAAAAAAAAAAAAACAACAAACAATCGCAAAGAACTCCAGGAAGGGACTCGAACCCAATTGAATTAAACCAAGATCATAATTACTCAAAGGCCTAATGACGATCATCACAAGGAGACATTAGACCTCACCATCTCCCAAACCTCATCACAAAGAACGCTTCCTATCTTTAAATCCTATTGTTTTCCTTGAGCCAAACACCCCACAAGATAGTGAAGATTCTAGCATGCCATACCCACATTCACGAGTAACTTAGCCTAAACAGTGCTAGGGTTGGATTCAAGGAAGCAAGAAACTCAAGAAGAATGCAGTGTTAAGATATCAGCAGGATGCAGACCAAAACCGTTCCAAACAAAACCACTCAACGTCTTCAAAGTCCAATCCACATATTCGCTACTACATCAAGAATCATTGAAAACCCTAAACTCCTCGCCATCCTCTCGTAACGTGCAACAATGACAACAGTCAGAATCGATTGACTAAAAATCGCTTCGTTCGGTAGATTTAAAAGATATAAAAACCAAATCAAACAGAACTACAAGACCGAATTCGAAAGAAGACGAATCATCATACCAAACAAACAAACAAACAAAAACATAAAAACACGAAAAAGAGAGAAATTTAGACGGACCTAAACTTACGGAGACAGAAAGAAAATAATAAAGATTCACCGGAAGATGAAAGCTGATGAAGAGCTCGCCGAGCTCGATCCGTCAGCAGAAATAGATTTCCGGTAACCCTCCTTCCGTTCGATAATCTCCTCGGCCTAAAACTGCAGCTCTCAGGTTGTCAGGTATTTATAGGGCTAAATCTTGCAGACTACCTCAAGTTTCTCGCCGTTTTAATTTTGAATAAATAACTCTCAAAAATTATATTTAGAAAAGTAGCCTTCTTTTTCCCTAAAATATTGCCTCTTTATAAGGAAAAAAAAATGGTACATTTTTTGTTATATTTTTTTAAATTTCTTTCTTTCTATTGTTTTTTTCAAAATATATATATATATATATATATATAAAAGCAGTAGTTGAATTATTGATGAAATCGAAATAGCTATTAATTGACGATCAACCATCGACAGTAATAATAGTTGAAATTCTTGTTAAACCGAAATAGCTATTAATTGTCGATCACCCAAACCCAATAAGAACTGGTGAAATTCTTGTTAAACCGAAATAGATGCCAATTAGTCATACCATATTAAATTTGTTCCTTTTTTTTACTTTTTCTATTTATATCATAAAATTTGATATATATTTTTTTTTAATTTTAGTTTTATTCTTTAAATTTATAAGTGATAACATTATTTATTTATTAAAAAAATAGTGTTGAAATATTATGCAAACATTTATTACTTTCGTGACAAAAAATTCGAATAATTTATACGTCAATTATCTGTTTTTGTTGATTTTAATGATGTGTACATATCGTGTGACCATTTTTTATAAGAACATTTGATGTGTTGACTCGAACATTTATAAATATTAAATAAGAAAAAAAAATAGAATGAGAGAATATATACATTTGACGTGGATGACTATGTTTAGGTCGGTGTCAACTAAATTAAAGTTTTTTTAATTAATTAAAAAAACAATAATCAAAACTAAATTAATACAAATAATAGATAAATTAATACAAATATTTATGAAATCGGTAATTTATTAAAAAAAATAATACTTATAAATTTAAAAAAAAAACTTAATTTTAGTTTGGAATAAAATAATTAATTCTTTATTTTAAAAATACTTTTTTTTAATCTTTTTAATAACATTTAAAAAATACCTATAAAATTTTAAAAATAGTATTAACCCATTTTATTTTACTGGTATAAAACAATTTAACTTTTTACTATCAATATATCAATATATATAGACTGACACGTCCAATACTTTTTAGATTATATCTGAACTTTTTAACGTTTCTTTGAAAGTTTATAAATATTTTTAAATATCAGCTAATATTTTTTTACTTTTTAAAAAAAGTTTAAATGATTTTGATTTTTTTTTTTTAAATTAACGGTATATTTTAAACCGTGTATTTTTTAAACACTTTGAAAGTTTAAATATATTTTCAAAACAAGTATTAAGTGAAAATTAATGGTAAGTATATTTTTTAGATTTTTTAAATTTATTCACGTGATTAAATATAAAATGAGTTATATATTAAAAAATTCAAAAACAATTTAAAAATTGTTATTTAAAATAATTAGTTGATTTTTAGTTAAAATAATTGAAGTATTTTTATTATGAATAATCAAAGTTTATTATTATATCATAAATGGAAAATATTATAAATTTTTAGATATTGTTTAATATGTACGTTAAAATATACTCCAATGTTAATTTTTTTTTTCATATATACAATAATTATTTCCTTTTCTTCTTGTTTTATTATTATACCGTAATTTGATTGTGCTTGTAATTATGCTTTTTAAATTTTTTTTTAAAATACTTATTTATTATAAATTCCTTAAAAAAAAATTATAATTTAAAAAATCAGAGTTTCACTCGATGGTTTGATAAAACCGTATAAAAAAATATATGTCTAAAACGACTGCATTAAAAACTTTGTAATATTTAAAAAATTACATAAAATAGTAAATGAACGTGATGAGGCGATCACAAGCTCCAATGGTAGTAGAGGATTAGATTGATAGCAACAACGACATCAAACGTATCAAACTTGGAATGAGATGTGTGAGGTCCCACATCGGCTGGAGAGGGAAACATAACATTCCTTTATAAGAGTGTGGAAACATCTCCCTCATAGACACGTATTAACACCGTGAGACTGATGACGATACATGACGGTCGAAACGAAAAATATCTGTTAATGATGGGTTTGAGCTGTTACAAGATGATGGACGGTCGAGACATGCGCATAAGCACTGTCGTGAAAGTAGTTACTCGCTCTACATGGATTGCTAGCAGATTGCAGCGTTTGATCATGATACAACGACTGATTTAGGTATAACAATAAAACTAGAAGTACGTGGTTTTGGAAGAATTCTTGGATGTTGGCTATCAAATTATTAAAATATTATTTTGGCCCTTACATGTTCATTATATTTTAGTAACATTTAAATAATGAGGTTTCAAATTGACATTTCACTTATGAATTTGGAAGATTTTGGTCTGTTCGTCAAAGTTTATGTATGTATTTTTCTTAATTTTCAATCTAATAATTTTCATAAGCTTAATTTCGTCTGGAACTTAAGTAATCCTTTCGATTTCATTCCGATTCCGATTCCGATTCACTCCACTAGAATCCGATTCTTAAATCGCCTCCATGGCCTCTCTGTCTGCGTTTTCCGTTCTTCTGCTAAGGTTTGCCTAATTACTTCGTTCCTATTGTGTTCTATTGAATCTGCTATTTATGCGTTTGTCTTCAGTAATTCGTTTGTATGTTCTTGAAATCCCTTTTTGTGTTGTTGTTTTCTGATTTGCTATCGTCTCTGAAATCGGTCGTCGGTTTCGATTATTGCATGTCCGTCTGCGTCAGATTTCCGTAATTTTTTGGGGTTTTTCTGTCTTGTTTGCACTTAAATTTGCTTCTCATTATTTGCAAATTTTTATGAAGTGAAAGTATAGTTGTTTAATGAAGTTGTAAACGTATTCTGAAAATAGGAGGAACTGACAGAGAGGTGGAGTTTGGCGATTGGTGGAGGCGGTGTAGGTCATTGTTGTAGGCTGAGGTGAAAAGTGGGGCAGCAATAAGACTGCGAGGTCACATAGTTGACAAATTTGGCGGCATCTTTGTTATAGTCCGTTCAAAGTTCGGAAGAGAGAGAACTGAAGAACTTGGGAATTTTAGGGTGTTTGGAACAGTGAAGAGGAAGGGGGTGGCGAGCGAGAGAAAATGGGCAAAGGGCCATTTTCTTTTCGCCGGAGTAATAGTCGTCGCCGCCCTAAGAAGGCAGCTCAGTCGACACCGTTGTTGTCGCCTCAGACACCTCTGCCGATTGACGTCAATTCTCCTCCCATTAACAATAATGGCAGCAGCTTGGTCGGTGGTGGCGGTGGTGGTGGTGGGGCTGTGGGAAAGGTGAAGAAGAAGGCTGGAGGAGCGAAGCTGTGGATGCGTCTCGACAGATGGGGGCAGTCGGAGCTTTTAGAGTGGGACAAGAACGCAATAATCCGGCGTGCTGCAATTCCGGCTCGGGATTTGAGGATTCTTGGTCCTGTTTTCTCCCACTCCTCCAACATACTCGGTAAATTTTGATTTTACGCTGCAACCAGTTTTAGGAACTATATATTTACTCGTTAGAAGTGCCGTTTTGTGTCTATCCTTGTCTCTTGTAACAGATTTTGGAAATCGTAGCAACTACTTGTAACGAGGGATTTGTTTCTAAGATAAAAGAAAGTATACTTTTAGTTGGTTTTGTCTTCTTCAATTGAGAGAGACATGGGGAGAAAAGCTAGATTCAAGGGATAAGGCCGTGTGCAATTGTTTTGATATTCCATTCATGTTCATTGTTCGTTATAAGAAACCATCAACAAGGAGTAATATTTTAAGTCGTTTCTTATCATGTGTGTACATATAGTATTGATTTTCCTTCCCATGTTTTCCACATTTTTTTTTCTAAGTTTAAATTTGGGGAACCATGAAGTTAGGGTTGTAGTTGATAATTCACAAATGTTCATAGCCATGTGAAACCTTGAATTCTTTCTGAGTTCTCTTTGGTATTCTTGCAGCAAGGGAAAAGGCCATGGTTGTTAATTTAGAGTTCATAAAAGCTATAGTTACTGCTGAAGAAGTCCTACTATTTGACCCTCTTCGCCAAGAGGTTATTCCATTTGTGGATCAGCTAAGGAAACTACTTGCTACGAAGAGTTCATCTCAGGGCCATGGAGATGGAACTGTGGATGAACGTGAAAATGATGTGAATGTTTCAAGTGGAGGAAAGTGGTTGCCAGTCTCCGAAGCTGCTGAAGCTGCTGAAGGTGTGCCGTATGAGCTCCCGTTTGAGTTTCAGGTTCTGGAAAATGCATTGGAGGTTGTATGTATGTATTTAGATTCCAGTGTGGAAGACCTTGAGAGAGATGCTTATCCAGTGCTTGATGAACTGGCTAGGAATGTCAGCACCAAGAATTTAGAACGTGTGAGAAGCTTGAAAAGTAATCTTACCCGTATTCTTGCACGCGTTCAAAAGGTGTGCCCAAATCCTGTTCTTTCTACCAACTTTTTAAAAATACTTATTATTTTTGTTTTCCGTTGCCATATTTTGCTCATTTTTAATTAATTATGTTCTGCTTGAGGTAGTTTTTTTTTGTTTTTGTTTTTGTTTTCTTTTGTTGTTGTTGTTAGGTAGAACTAACCGTGGGTTTTATTATATTACTATTTATTATTATTATTTTATCACCCCATGTATGCTTGTGTAATGAAAATGCAATTAGACTTGGTGAAAGCAAAACGTTGATATGTGCAAATGTTTGAGGATTCGTGCTTACCATGGGCGGGAATCCAAGGAGCTTGTTTTTTGGAAGCTTGTCTTGGATAAAATTTAGAATGAACTTTTTGTCTAGAAAATAGTGTTTTTCTCTTAACTGGGAAGGCTGATGCCAATTCGATCAATGTTGAGAGGGATCCCTAACTATTTATTATCGGTCGATCTTTAGGTTATGGTTCTGGTGAGTAAGTTTATTGATAGAACGATGAAAAATTTCTTTTGGGAAGGGATAGACAAGGGGGAGGGTTGCACTTGGTCAAATGGGAAGTGGTTATGAAGCCGGTGGATCTAGGAGAATTAGATATTGGGAGCTTGAGGTTACGTAACAAGACTTCTCTGGCTTAGTGGTTGTGGCGCTTCTTCCTAGACCTTGACGCGCTATGACATAGGGTGATTGTGAGCAAGTATGACCAGTATTTTTTCGAGTGGATTGAGGGTGGTGGTTCTATGAACCTTAGCAAAAACCACTAGAAAACTATTTATTCGGGATTTCCTTCTTTCTCATAGCTTATTCGTTGTTCAGTTGGGAAAGGTTTAAAAATATATTTTAGGGAGGATTTTTTGGGTTGGGGAGACCTTTGTGTGTTTTGTTTCTATGTTTATACCATATTTTGAACAAAAGGTTGCATTCTTCACTTTTAGGCTTCTGACGTCCATTGATTGACAGAGAGATGACAAATGTTTTGGGTATTCTTTCTATCCTATGAAACTTTCAGGTGTTCCCATCACTTTTAGGCTTCTGACGTCCATTGATTGACAGAGAGATGACAAATGTTTTGGGTATTCTTTCTATCCTATGAAACTTTCAGGTGTTCCCAGAGAGGAGATATTCATATCTTGTTAAGGGTTCGCTTGCCATTCCTTCTCCCATATTTTGTCTCGCTTTTCCCTCCTTGGTTGCCTCTATCTTCTCCCTTCCTGGTTGCCTTTATGTTCTCCTAATTCCAAAGAAAGTTGAGGTTTTTGAATGGTAGATTTTACACGGGAGAGCGAATGCCTTGAATCGTGTCCAAAGACATTCTTTCTTTGTGTTGTTTTTAGAATGATGCATTCTCTGCTTGGAGTGAGAGAAACTGATTTTATATCTTTGTACCGGAGCGAAGCTCTCGTTGGGAGAGTTCCAAGCCTCTGGAAAGGTTGGAGAATATATTGTTTCTGTCTGGCTGAACTCATCAGTCCTAGTCTAATTCTCTTGAACTGTAGTGCTGTAACAATTTTTGTCTTGGCCAATGTTTTTATATAGCTCTGCGGATAAGTAGCAAGCTAATCACCTTAGACTGTCAATTTTGTATTCTTTCACAATACAAGAGAAGATCTACAACAAACAGAACTTTTCATTGAAGAAATGAGAGACTAATGCTGTTAGTGAAAGAAAATAAAACAAAAATTATGAAGGAAAAATAAAGGTATCTCAATTCAAACATATATCTTGTAAAGAAAAGCCAATTAAAAGCTTAGAAAGAGAACATAAAAAGCTTGGTGGATCTTTTGTTAGGTTGTCCTTTTGTATTCCCTTTGCATTCTTTCCTTTATTCTTGATACAATCTTAGTTCTTTATCCAAAAAGAATAGGTCTTGGTATAGAGCACCCACACGCCCACCCCTCTTCTTTGGTAGATCATCTACTTGGTTGAATCTTCTGTTGCTGTTCTGTTTTAGGGTGAGTTTGGCATGCCTACTTGTTTAAACACGTTTTTAGAATTTCTTTTCTTAGTTCTTTTCATTAAAGTGATTTTAATTTGAAGACTTGTATGTTTGGTTATATCTTCTTAAAAGTAATTTTAATTCCAATTTTGTTTGGCTGCACAAAGTGATTCTATGAGTATTAAGTTCTTAAAGATCATTGTCTGTCTTCTTTAATTTATAATTGGCCTTCCTTTTTGTGGTTATTTCATTTATCAATGAAATTTGTAATTTCTTTACAAAAAAACAAACTACCATAAAGAGAAGTGAAGAAGATAAGCTTTAAATTTGATGGTGATTTTGTAATTTCAGCATCATTTGGGTCTTGTTATATACATTTTGAAGAACTTTTATTACGAAAGGTTTTCTTTAATGTTTCTAAAGTGATGGACATAGAGAATCGCTTGTTTTGATTATTTTTTTTGTTACCAAATACTCAAGATAGTAACTTGAAACCAGCATTCTTAAGGAGGCGGGCGGAAAAAGGGAGAAAACTCTTCGGCCCGAGCCTCAAAAAGGTTCATTTGCATATACATTCATTCTATGGATTCTGAGTTTTGGAGCTTAAAAAGCTCCATAAATAAATGCGAATACTCAAGAAATCCATTGGAAGCTTGTACAATCGATGCCACAACGATAGCCAACTCACTTATCAAAGAAATAAGGTGAACTCTTACCATTTTGATATATGTGCTTACTGGAAGGATTTTCTATAACTTTCTTTAGTGGTGTTTATTTTTTTAGTTCAACACGTAGACGTAGAAATTTTATCTTCTGATCTTTGCTAGCAGATATCATCAAACTATCATACTCCCCCTGTTTGTATATTTCATTGATTTAATGAAGTGCAATTTGAATCTTATCCAAAAAGAAAACCAAAAGAAAGAACTAAATACTCATAGCTTTTATGATGGCAGGTGCGGGACGAGATAGAGCATCTATTAGATGATAATGAAGATATGGCACAACTATATTTGACAAGGAAATGGATGCAGAATCAACAAGCTGATGCTTTGCTGGGAGGTCTGGCTTCCAACAGCACCACAGCCATCGTTCCCCATCTTCGTCGACTTAGTTCCACCCGGAGCGGAAGTATGGTGACCAGCAATCTTCTTGATGATAATGATGTAGAGGATCTGGAAATGTTACTCGAGGCATATTTTATGCAGTTAGATGGGACTCGTAACAGGATATTATCGGTGAGAGCTTCGACATATCATTGATTAAATTCCTTCTCTATAGTTGTGCCATAATCTTAGACAGGTCGAGGTCGAGTTTTAAGGCGTATGTTATTCTCATTTTTATACGTGCAGGTTAGGGAATACATCGATGACACCGAGGATTATGTCAATATTCAACTTGACAACCAACGAAATGAACTCATTCAGTTTCAGTTGACACTGACCATTGCTTCATTCGCCATAGCCATTGAAACCTTAATCGCCGGGTTGTTTGGCATGAACATCCATTGTACATTGTACGATCGGGAGGGGATATTCGAGTACTTCGTCGGAGGTACTTCAGTAGGTTGTTTGTTGATTTTCGTGCTTATTTTCGGGTATGCTAAATGGAAGAAGCTTCTCGGTTCATGATTTCACCTTGTTCAGCATGTTCAGCTGTTGTTTTATATCAGCAAAATAAATACTTGTATGCTTATGAATCAATAATTTACACAGCATACCATAAGCTGCATACAAACATACTGCAATGATATGAGAATTATTTGTACTTAATGCCACTTCGTTATTATATCCTTGTGTTTAAATATTGGTCACTTCGCTTGCTTTGAACTCTCGACCAATAGGATTAAGCAGTGATTTCACGAGATTAGTCTTTACGTGAATAAGTTAGTCAAGCTCACATACTTTAAGCGAGGCCGATCTTATAGCTCAGATAGTCGCTCTAGAGGTCGTACAGTAGCTTCTAACTTTGCCTGTGAATCCTACCAGTTTTTGGGGCCGTTCAACTCCGGTCAAAACTCAACTCCAATCAACTATCGGGGTGATTTCTCGTTAAGAAGAAACAAAATCTGAGCTTATGGGTACAAAGAGATCCAACTTTGTTTAGTTGTTTCCTTCAACTTTGTCACATGTAATCTACACATCTTTATTTTCTTCTTATATTAAATATATATATTCTTTTGGAATTGCATTGCACGTACATAATTATTCTTTTATTTTTTTAAAAAAATAGTTTCTTTTTCAAAGCACATTGGAATTTGAAAAAAAAAACGACCCAATGGAGAGCTTCGAACTTATGGAAAGGAATATATTTGTAATGTTTTATGTCAAAGATTTCAATTAGGATTTAGAATCCAGATTTTGACTTCATCAAGAGTCTTTTTATGATGTTTTATTCTCACACACATGTTTGCAGAAAAATAAATTAGAAAATTAGATTGAAATAATATTTATAAATTTAATTTAAAAAATAAAAAAATGGTTAAAAAGCTTTTTTTATTTTGAAATTTGGATAAAGAATTTAAAGTACTAAAAAAAAGTTTTAGTTGAATTTTGAAGATAATTATAAAAATTGAAATAAAATAAATGGATTTGGCAAAAAAAAAAAAAAAAAAAAAAAAAAAAAAAAAAAAAAAAAAAAAAAAAAAAAAAAAAAAAA